TTCTTGTTAAAAAATCCGTATGTATTTTTTTATTGCACTTTTGCATCTAGATGTGTTTTTTCAATATAGCCTTACTGTTTACACTTTTTTAGCTCACCACATATCAATTACAAACTTATTTCCATCTTGAAAGTGTTTCTTTCCAATCTAATGAACATTTTACATGCTGCAGTTTGCATTGCATTACTCCTGGTCCACAGAGGCACGTGCTCGGCGAGCATTGGCTAATGTGTCAGCTTTACTTCGTCCAGGAGGCATTTTCATTGGAACTATGCCAGATGCCAATGTGATTATCAAGAAGCTTAGAGAAGGTTTTTGGTGCACTTAAATTCTAATTAATATTCTTTCAAAATAAACTTAGTTGTCGATGAAATCATATGACATCCATTGATCTATGTAGCTGACCTCATTTAGTTAGATAAGACATTGTGATTGTTGTTTTTTAAGACAAATCTAATGGAAATTTGATGTGAATATGTAGCTGAAGGGTTGACTTTTGGCAACAGTGTCTACTGGATCCGTTTTGACGAAGTATTTTCTGATAAGGTAATTTTCTTCTCCTGCTCCTCTTTCTTCATCATTTTCTTTTATATTGTGTGAAACCTGTATAATTGTGGGAGTGATTTTGTGAATTCTACATCTAACCAAATTTCTCCTGTGATTCAGAAATTTAAATCTTCCAGACCCTTTGGAACCAAGTACACGTTCCATTTGGAGGTATCATTTCTTTTTTACTCTTCTCATTTTTCTAAGCATCTAGTAGTTGTTTTCCCATAATACAAGGCTGATTGCGAGATTATATGTCAAACTAATGACCACAGAGAACAATTAGATATTAAGTTATCATTCAACAGTGCATTTGTCACTTGTTCGTAACCCTTTAACTCTTGCAGAATTTTAACCAAGTCATTTTTTTTAAACGGGTCTAAGTACAAATTTGAGCTCATTTTTTAAGCGAGACTAACTAAAAGCTCAAATTTAGTTTGTTAAAAAAACCAGAGTTTAACCTGGACGCATTTATTTAAATGAGCCTAGCTAAAAAAATTCGTATATTATTTTAGACCATTCATTTTCCTGATTCAGTTCATAAAATATTCAAACTTATTCGCCACTATAAAAAAGAAATTTCAAAAGAACTCTATGTGTTTCCATATTATAAATAAAAAACAATGACTAGGCAATCGTTATCATCAATTTATGGGTGGGTAGACTACAATAAAGCCCAAATATGCAGTACAATCATGGATACGATACCACAATGATATGAAAAATATTTAAAATTCAAGAAATGACATAGCTTAGGTATGTTGGTAAAAATTAATAAAAGAAACATAGATAGAATACTTGTAAAAAATACATTAATTTCTCACTAATGTACAGCTATAATGGCCATTGACCACAATTTACAAAAGATACATGTAATAAAAACAAAAATTGTATTTTATAAAAGGGAAATGCTACTTGTCCCGAACAATTTCATCACGAAACCATCACGACAGTGCTTTACTAATACCATCTCCATCTACTTATTATTTAGCCACACATGCACTTTATTTAAGTCAAAATCTAATGGTTAAAAACCATTCGTGATAGGCTCGGGATTTTTTCTTTCATTAGAAATAGCACTGCTGTTTATTTAATTATGAAAACAAGCTTGGTAGACGATTGAACGAGTTCAAATTGTTTCCAAATAGATTTCTCCATAACACCCCTATTTTTAAAACTTATATGCCACTATTTAAAACATTGCCTTTTGTTGCAGGATGCTGTTGATTGTCCTGAATGGATTGTCCCCTTTGACGTATTCAAGTCATTAGCTGAAGAGGTATGTATTACTGCCTGCAAAACTGTTAGATTTTTGTATTCCCACCCAACCCTTATCCCCCTCCCCCTTCTGCTGCTAAAGTTATAATTTGTAGGTTTCACATTGGAGTATGATTATAATTTGCAGTACGATTTTGAGCTTGTTTTCGCAAAGAACTCACATGAATTTGTTCACGAGTATATGAAACGACCGGAATTTGTGGAGCTCATGCGAAGACTTGGTGCGTTGGGGGATGGCAACCAAGATCAGGGTAACCCTTCGAGACTGCTGTTTTGATTTCCATTAAATTCACAAGAGGAAAGACTGTCATTAACTTGTCATTCTGTCCGCTGTTGTATAATATTCATTTTAATTCACTTTGCTTATTTCAGTTTCATAATAGTGTCCAGATTAAACTTTACTTTCCTTGTAATTTTTTGGGAATCCCTTTTTACCTCTCCTGGTTAATAGTCTTATATCTATATCAGGTACACTATCAGCTGATGAATGGGAAGCAGCATATTTATATATGTCATTTGTATTGAGAAAGGTAAGTAGCAATGTAATTAATTGTGTTGGCTAGTTCATGCTTATAATGCCGCCATTTGTCAATTTGCTAGTTAAAATCGGTTTTCTTTCTGAACTATAACAGCGAGGTCAACCTGACAAAAACCAAGCAAGCAGCAAAAAAGATCGAGGATTGATGCATATTACAGAAGAGGACATAATGTTCATTAATGGCTACGACTATTGACAACTAACACAGAACAAATAAACCAGGGACTTGCTTTTCAAGAAAGGACATCGGACCACAGAGGGCTCGAAGCAATCTGCACTGGGGCAATTTGCCCTGAGCCACTACCATATACCTCACAATCTTGAAGACTAGCAATCTTTTGTTGAATATTGTAAGTTGGCAATAAATGGTTCAAGAGAATTTTCTGCCCTAGAAAGTGCAAGTCAAAAATCATGAAAAGTAAAACACAAGTAAAAAGAATATCACTACTATTTATATAGTTTTCCATGACGACATATATAGACATCTATTATATATGTATTTATATACTTTTTTCTTCTAAATTTCCTCTTATATTTATTCATGTTGTAGTAATTACTATGTTGCAGAACATATATTTTGAAACTTTTGAAACACATGCATGCTTAGGACTCAAGTAACACAACATATACAAATTCAATTCATATTACAAAAATTCAAATAGTTTTTAATGTGAAAGTTACATCATGTAGAACAAACCGTTCAACCCACATCATGGTAAAACATAAGAAAATCTAAATAATACTTAAAAAAAAGTAATCAAACTCTATGTCATGTATCAGAGGGAAGGTATAAAATCCCAATAAAATACTTAGACATATGCAATTCAATAAAATAATATTATAAAACAGTCTTGAAAGCTTATTAATAGCATAAGCTTTGTTTGCAGTCTTCACTTGTAGAATCTGCACATGTTTTTTACATATGAAACGATTCTAATATCATTCATTTTTAAAAGTCCACTTACACATGAATTCACAACATTTTAGCATATAGCTCATAAACATTTCACATGAAAGTTAATAACACACTTGGTATGCACTAAATCATAGGTTTAAGAAAATTGATCTTATTGATTGATCAGAACCTGAAAGTGGGTCGGAATGATGACATGTCTGTTTGGCTGAAAATATGAGAAGAGGAGAGGGTGTACCTGCAAGATACTCCGACGATCTAGTGAGAAAGACTGGAAAGAAAGACGAGAGATATTAGGATTTTTTAGAACTAGTAGAATACCCGTACTTTCGGACGAGTACTGGTTAGGGTTGTACCGGACATACCAGACAAATTTCGTTATTATTTTTAAATCGAAATATTTTTTTTATATAAAATCAATAATAAATATAAATATAAGAAATAAAGTGTTAAATACCATTTTTATACTACATAAAAAAAACAATAAATAGGGTAGCAGATATATTTGAATAGTTAATTTGAAAAAATAAATATGAATTATATTAAATCGTTGGTTAGTTTAGAAAAGAAATAATAAGAAAAATGCATTTATATTATTTTGGTAGATCAAATTTTAAGAAAATATAAATATTTGAAAATAAAAGTAAGACGGTTTATTTTAGCAGATTAAGTGCTTTGGGAATATGAAGTGCAGTAGAAACAATTGTGAAAAATAAAAATAAAAAATAAAAAAACTTTTTTAGGATTGATAGAGTTGTAATAAAATAGTTTATAACGTCAAATAAATGAGATAAATAAATATTTAAAATTAAAAATAGTTGAAAATTAATATAAAATTATTTTTATACGACTAGTGTGTTACCCGTGCGTTTATATTGATTTTGGAATGATTATCCATTCACACAGTATATATGTATTACCCGTGCATTTATATTGTACTAGTGTGTTACTCGTGCGTTCGTATAGATAATAATGTGGACGCGAAATTATCATCGGTTTATCATGAACAAATTATAACATATCAAAATATTGATAAAAGAAAATAAAAATTGGGATGGAAGATTAATGTTTATGATTTTAAAAACAACTATTGTTAAGAAAAACTATTTAAAACATACTATATAATTTTTTTTTGTGAAAAATAGATTTTTTTTTAAAGATGATAGAGTTGTAATAATAAAAGAATTTACTCGTGCGTTCACAATAATTTTGACTTGATTTCCCATACGTTCACACGAATTTTATGCTAGAGACCAGTGAGTCTGTACATGTACTAGTAGTGTAGTACGCAAATTTATTTACAAAATTAAATAAAAATGAAATGAAAAATAAAATAAAATTGTTTAATCAAGAGTTACATATTTTTAAAAGAGATAATTAATCTATAATTATTTTAATTTAGTGTTTAAAAAAAATTATAACTTACAATTTTGTCAAAAAAACAATATCCAGTTAATGAACACCATAAAAAAAAATCCTATAATGATTCGTATATTTAAAAAAAGCCATATTCACCAGGACTTATATAGATGAGACATATTGCCATAGTTTGTATTATATTTTTTATTTAGATTTGAACAAAATTGAATTTCTTCATTCAACCAATCAAATATAGTATAGTTTGTATTATATCCAGACTTTATATATTGGTGTGGCTAAACATAAAAGAAATTATTGACTAAAATATATTGAAAATAAAAAATAATATTGTTTGATGAAATGTATTTACAATGAAAACCGTCTAGTATCAATTTCTTGAAAATGAGCTAAAATAACATCATTGTTAATTGTTCCAAAAACATCTCTTTCTATAAAAGTTACAAGACGATCATTTAACCATTGATCACCCATTTTGTTAGAAGACCGTATGAAATTAACAAGCATATTGACCTTACCGAAAAAACCACTAACATCTTTGTGAGTCTTAGCACATGCAACAAGTGCTAATTGAAGTTGATGGGCAAAACAATACACATAATAAGCTGATGGATTTTCATTTTGAATTAAAGTTCTCAAACCACCAAACTTACCTCGCATATTGCTAGCTCCATCATATCTTTGCCCCCTTATGCTAGATAAACTCAAGCCATTAATAGACAACAACTTCTCAAGTGCCTCCTTAAGTGACTTAGCACTTGTTTCTTTAACACTAACAATCCCAAGAAACCTTTCTTTTACCAAACCATCACTATTAACATAGTGAATAACAACAACCAGTTGTTCTTTACCAGCAACGTCACCGAATTCATCAATCAAAACACAAAACACATCATCCGCAATATCACATACAATTTGTTTAGTTATTTCACATGCACAAGCAGCAGCAAGATCCTTTTGAATCTTAGGGGCAGTCATAAAGTTATTTCCTGGAGCACAATTTATTACCTTAGCTATCTCTGGGTTAATTTCCTTTAGAGTGTCCACCAACTCAAGAAATGGCCCCTTAAATAAAGAGTTAAAGGACTCGTCACTCCCTCTAAATGGTATGCCACACCTCAAAAGAAACTTAGTAGCTATAAGAGATGTGTTTACACGAACACGATATTCAGAATTCATTTGTTTAGTTTGATTAACAAATACAGCCTTAATACTTTGGTTTGGGTTCATGAGAGCGTAACTCATATGCACACAATCAATATGACTATTGGAAGAAGTTCCATGATTAGCCAATCTGTGAGAATTCTTCCAATCACCAAACCCCTCTGTCACAAAGTGATCTCCCCCGTATTTAGAGACATTCTTAAACAAAAAACATGGCAAGCAAAATGCCAGGTCCTTAGATTCACTATAATCAATCCAATCATACAAATCAAACCAATTTTTGCAAAATCTACGTCTTTGATTACCTTGAACAGACCAAGGGTAAACAAAATTGTAAGGAGGTTTATGACGACCTATTTTTAAATAAGCTTTCCTTACCTCATTTTGGATGTCATGATGATAGCTTGAAATTGGAGGCCTAATTCCTGGATCGGTTTCCAACAATTCATAATCGACAACTTTAATACTCTCACTTGGATGTTGAGTTTCCGATGCTTCTAGATTTATCGAAGAAGTAGCTTTGTCTCTAGAAAGCACATGAAAAAATTTCTTCATCCTATAAAGAGAACAATGAAACCATTAAAATTAGCTATTCACTCTATAAAGAAAATAATAAGAACAATTTATTGTAAAGAAAATATTTATGAGAAATTGAAAATTTACTTTTTTAAAACAAATTGGGGTTTTAGGGTTCAACTCAAATAGAACAAAAGAATAAGAAAATTTTGAAGTAGTTAGTTTACCTTTGATTTTCAATCACCCATAAACAATGCAAAATGGTGGGGTTATTGGATTAATGAGAGAAAGAGACAAATATGGAAGTTGGTGGGGTTTGAGAAGAAGAGAAAAGATTTACTGTGTGAGAGAGAAAGAAATAAAAGAGAGAGAAAATTAAGAGATAAAAGTGAGTTGAAGAGTTATATAATATTAAATATTAAAATTAATTAATTAATTAAATATATATTAATATTAGAAAGAAAAAAAAAATCTGGTGTGGCTATAGCCACACCTAACCTAAACATGGATCCGCCCATAAATTTGATTCTGATGAGATAAATGTATTATAATACAAACTATGACGTGTGTTCATTAAAGTATATTCAACCTAACGTTCTAAGACGTGTGTTCATTAAAGTATATTCAATAGGAGACAAAATCAGTTCTTACAATTAGAACTATTAAAAAAATAAAAATAAGATAATCAAATTGAACCACGTTACCGAAAGCACTAAACAATTCTTTTTAAATATTTTATTTATTTATTTATTTTAAAACTATAATCTGAAACTTGTTTATTATAGCAATTCTTAAATAAATATACTTTAATTAGATTACATAAGCAGTAAACAATGCTTTTTCTGCAGAACATTTTTGTTTATCTTTCTATTATGTTGGTTGCGAGAATAACACGCATGCCGCATAAAATTCGGTTCAGTATGATATCAAAACACACATTTCTATATAAAAACAGAAAAAATCAACAAAAGCAACGCATGAAAAATCATTAGAGCATGGGAATGAAAACTCATATAAAAACAGAACTCTTTCACATGTTTGCTTCCATCGGTGCATTTAGCAATTGATACAAAGGAATAAAATAGAAAAGCAAAAAGTTAGCCGAAAGCTTACAAAAGATTGATATATGGCCAAGATATATATAAGATGTAACTTACTTGTAGAATGAAGTTAATATGCAACAAACAAACACAAATATATCTCAGTAAAGTTGCATCATTGATTACAAATAGCCTTGAGTAATATTAAGGAAGAGAATAAACCTGACATCTCCAGAAATGTTACATTCCCATGGAATTTGGTTGATTTCACTTTCAGGATCTGAGTAGGGAATGCATTGATAACAATTGAAGGGTGAGATATACTTGAATCAAAGACAAATAAATACAACCATATACTCGAATCAGAAATATATTACATCATTAGTTGGAAAAAATATTTTTTAGACACAAATTATCCTTAGATTGGTGAGGTGGAGAAGAATGGAGAAGGGGTAAATGGGGGTTTTCTAGAGGTTAGAAGGTTCTTATATGGTAGATGAATATTAGATATCCAACCCTCACAGGTGTGCACTACAAAATAAGTTGTGTTTTGTCACGTGATTTCCACGTCGCTAACACCAAAATCATGTCACAATTTTATTTTTGCCACCTGAAGAAACACGTCGCTGGAGAGCGCGTGACAAGGTTGTTGCGACGTGGAAAACATGTCACAACGTTGCCACGTAAAATTCACGCCGCAACAAACTTTATGGGGTCAAAGGCAATCAGAGCAGAACAGAGGTCACAACAAATTTTATATTCACTTTTACGTTGTGTGTTGCGGCGTGTTTTTCATGTCACTAATTTGTGACGTGGAAAACATGTCCCAACTTATTTATTTATTTTTTTTAAATTATTTTCTGTTTTAAATATAATAATTCTGATATAATAATTAATATTATTTTCTGTTTCATTAAATTTATAAATTAAATATTATAATTTATTTATTAAATTCAATATTATAAATCAAACTATAAAAATAAAACTAAATATATCAAAATATATAAATTAATATACTTAATATAATAAAAATAATAAACTAAAATTTAAATTTAATATTTTTAAATATAAAATATGATTATAAATTTATATTAGTACACAAATAAAAAACTAAATAGAAAATAAAAATAAAAATAAAACTAAGCAGAAGGATCATTCGAGTCGTCGGAAAAGTCGCGAAGAAAGTCATCATTATTTTGGCCACCATTGTTGGGATTTCCACCAAATGCTTGCATAAATTGTCGCATTTGCTCCTCCATATCAGATTGCCTCTTTGCCATTGCCTCCATTTCTCTATTATGTTCATCCCTCATTGCCTCCATTTGGGCCTTCAATGCCGCCTCCATTTGGGCCTTCAATGCAGCCTCACATTCTTCAGACTCGCGTCTAGCCAATTGTCTTACCGTTTCTAACTGATCCGGTGTCAAATTTGTTTGACGTGATCCTCCTTCACCGTCCACAACTCTCTGATACAGAGTTCTATCCCCACTCCCCAAGGTGCCTGCCAAATTTCCACCACCAAAAAAGCATCCGTTAGGCCCCTTTCCTCCAACAACTTGACTCTAAATATAGAAATCCACATATGGATGAATCAGTTTTCCCGGAGGAGGAGTATACTGAGGATTATGGGTTAGAAATTCTACAAGCAAGGCCTGATAATCCTCCTACACATACAATAAAAAAATCAAGTTAAATATATAAGTAAAGCTAATGAAATTAAATAAAATAAAAATAATAATAAAAAACATATAGCCACGTGATTGTAACGCCACAACTTATCAGTTGCCACTCAATTTTCACGACACAACATCTCACTTGCCACGTGAAAATCACGTCACAAAATTGCTTAAAAAATAAAAAAATATAAACATAAATTTACTTACCAGGGCTTTTTTTGTACGCTCGTCAATAAATTCCCCTGACTTCTTTGTCAGAGTTTTGGTAACCAACTCATTTAAATAAAAATAACTTAAGAAATCAATTAATTATACCTGAAATTTCTTAAACCATTCGTCTTTATCCGAAACTTCTCTAAAACTCTTCAAATTTTTTGTATAATTCTGCTGAATTATATAATTTATAACCCTGACAGCAGTCAGACTCGGCCCGAAACTAAAACAACAATAATTGAATTAGCATAATTAAGTATATAAAGTTATATTAAAAATGGAAATGTGTAGTTATAAATAAAAATCAATAAATAAGAAACTTACGAGTTCCCTTCAGGCCAAATCCAGAATCTCCCATCAATGGTATGAATCTCACTCGGATCATCATCCCCTCGAAGATCTCTCCCATCTATCTGATCATCGTCCACACCAAGATCGTCATCATCCGACTCTGCATGATCATCGGATGCAGGTACATGTGTGGGATGTGGGGTGCGACCATTCTGTGTGGGTCGTGAAGAGGTGGATCCTCCAGGCTGGATGGATGGGGACATCTGTGTAGGAAGTGGGATGCTGGATCCTCCAGGCTGCTGCACGAATGAGGGTATCTGTGTAGGAAGTGGGATGCTGGATCCTCCAGGTTGTTGCATGAATGAGGGTATCTGTGTGGGAAATGGAAAACTGTGGTGGAAGGATGAGGGCACCTGTGTCTGCTGGAATGGTAAACCAGGTGGGGCCCCAGATGGACAAATAAAATATGGACTCCCAGATGAGAACTGAAGAGGACTCTGAGAGGATAGTAATGGCGTAAAAGGCATAGTACTATCCATGGACATATGATGAACCTGACTCTGCGGGGGAGGACACGTGGCAGAGTGAGGTGACTGGCATACTACTACCCTTGTACGCTTGGGCTTCCTACCACTATCACTAGGACCTTTACCCTTATTATCCTTGGGTGGCATTTTTACCTATTTATAGAAAATAAAAGTTAACATATAATATATTTGAAAAGCACAATTCTCATTAATACATATTCATTAACTCATTCAAGAGATGGTTCGATAAGTAAAATTACAAGACACAATTCTCATGAATACATATTCATTAACTCATTCAATAGATGGTTCGTTAAGTAAAATTACAAGACACAATTCTCATTAATATAGGTTCACTATTCTAAATCGTCATACTCGTCATCCATATCATCCTCGTCATCTGATGTGATATTGTCCTCAGATCCAGAATCTTCATGATCTTCATCCTCATCAACTTGATTCCGCTCAACCATTGTATCAGACAAACTTGTAGTGTGTTCATCTGGAATCACATCATTAACTTCAACTTCATCAACTTGGTAAGCAACATCTTCCACTAGATCGTCAATTTCAATATGACCCAATAGTTTTGTTTTTATTACAACACAACACCGTCGTTTACGTGGCACAAATGAAGGATAAGGAACATAATAAACTTGCCTAACAATATTTGACATTATGAAAGGGTCGTACTCTTTGTACCTCCGGTCCATTTGAATGTCAACAATACCATATGTCTTATCTATTTTTGTGCCTCTAGTTGGATCATACCATTCACAATAAAACAAGACAACTTTATTTTCCGAGTCCAAGTAATTGTATACTAACTCGTAGATATGTTTAACAAAACCATAGAAGTCATCTTCACCACCATCTGTAACTCCTTTCACAAATACGCCACTATTTATGGTCTTTTTCCCTTCAGTCCATTCATGAGTGTGAAATTTATATCCGTTCACGAAGTATGTGTGCCATTTGTTTGCGCTTTGACGAGGGCCATTAGACAAGTTTCTCAAATGGAGTATTTTTGAAGTCGGTGCAACAACCCTATACAATTTCTCCTTGAACCATGTTGGAAATTGGGCATGAATGACACCAGATTTTGATTATACACCGGTACTATCAAAATAGGCGTTGTTAAATTCCCTAAAAAGAAACACACTATAAGTTTCAAGGTAATCAATTTTATATTCACACTGTAAAGAAAATTAAAAAGTTGGATTATACTTACTCAAGATATGGTTTAACTTCAATGCAGTTGATCAAGACATGAACATGTGCAAATTGCATTTCTTGTTGGGTCAACCAATGCTCACCCTTATTTCCAGAGGGACAACCTGGAAGCCCGAAGACTGATAAGGTGTACTGACTTCTTTCGATAATATTTACAGGATTCCTTATGATTCTTAGAGTTAACATCAAGTGCTTGAAATAGTGACTGCAATAATGTGAAGTTTCTCGATGCAAGTAATGTGCACATATTGATCCTTCAACTCTAGCTTTATTTTTCACTGATCTCTTTGAATCACCCATGAACCTTTCAAATGGATACATCCACCTATATTGAATAAGTCCTCCTAGATAAGCCCCATATACAAGATGCGCACAGGTAGATGTTCCATGGAGTCAAAAAAACCAGGCGGAAATACTTGTTCCATCTTACAAAGAATGACTGAAATATTTTGGTCCAACTTAATGATGTCATCTACTCTTAAAGTTGACGCACAAATATCCCTAAAAAATTGACTAATTTCAGTGAATGGATTAAGCACATGTTTGGGTAGAGAACCGAACGCAATTGGTAGCAATTGTTCCATAAAAACATGGCAATCATGACATTTCATACCATGCAACTTCCAAGTGTTAGCATCGACACACCTTGCTAAATTTGAAGAATACCCGTCGGGAATTCTCAAACCTTTTAGCCATCCACAAACCGCTTTAGCTTCTTGGAGGGTCAGACTGAAACAAGCTTTGGGTTTAAATAATTTTCCATTTGGTTGAGGCTTCAATTCCAACTCTTTACGATTACACCAAATTTCCATGTCTTGTATAGCCTTCACATTATCTTTTGTTCTGTCTTTAACATCAATCACTGTGTTAAATACGTTATCAAAAAAATTCTTCTCAATATGCATAACATCAAGATTATGGCGCAACAAATTATCTTTCCAATACGGGAGGTCCCAAAATATACTTCTTTTTGTCCAATTATGTGTGACCCCATATCCTTCAATTCTACATGCTTTTCCAGTATCTGTAAACTTTGGAAGTTCACGAACTTGGTTCCATATAGCAACTGGTGACAATCGAGGCAGAGGCAAATCTGTTACCCATTCGTCCTTTTTGAAATTTGTCTTGTTTTTTCTAAAGGGGTGATTTGATGGTAGGAATCTACGGTGACAGTTAAACCACGAGCTTTTCCCCCCTTTATCCAATGTAAACGCCTTAGTGCATTCCATGCAATACGGACAACCCATTCTGCCATGTGTACCCCAACCAGACAACATGTCATATGCTGGAAAGTCGTTAATGGTCCACATCAAGGCAGCTCGCATAGAAAAGTTTTGTTTACGGGATATATCATAAGTCCATTCTCCATTATTCCACAACCTCTTCAAATTATCAATTAAAGGTTGTAAGTACACATCAGTTCCGGTTTTTGGATTCGACGGTCATGGAATGACGCACGTAAAAAACATGTATGGTTTTGTCATGCACATCTCAGGAGGGAGATTGTAAGGGGTTACAATAACTGGTCAACAAGAATACGCACTTCCAGACGCTTGGACATATGGAGCAAAACCATCAGAGCATAATCCAAGCCTGACATTTTTAGGTTCCACGACAAAATCAGGATGTACCTCATCAAAGTGGTTCCATGCATGGCCGTCAGATGGGTGTCGCATATTGCCTGGGCTTGTTTTGTTTGTATGATGCCATGTCATTTGACTTGCACTGTGCATTGAAGAAAACATTCTTTTTAACCTTGGTATTATCAGAAGATAAAACATGGACTTTACTACTACACGTTTTTGCTTACTGTTAATGGCTCTATTGCAAACTTTATATCTTGGACTCTGACAAAACTTACATTCCTCCAATGATCCATCTTGAGTATCAAACTCGTTGTCATAAAAAAACATGCAACCATTAATGCAACAATCAATCTTTCTAACTCTTAAACCTAACTTCGACACCAACTTCTTTGCATCATAGAAACTCGCAGGCAAGTTGTCTTTCGTTGCAGTTGAGTCCAATATCATTTTTGCGAAGTGCTCTAAACACTGATCAGGAACATTCCAATTTGACTTGGCGGCCAATAATCTTACACACATTGATAGCTTTGAGTCTGACGATTCCTCAAACAATGGCGTATTCATCTCATTCAACAACTGATAAAATCTCTGCGTTTCCTCATTCGACAACTCTTCCCCGTCAAAATATTCTGGTTGATCATAGGTCACGTTAACACCAAAAGCATCATCAACCATGTCACCTATCAGATTAAAGTTTTCCTCAAATTCCATAGGCGGTTGCATAGCCGGTCGACTACTTGAAGCATCTGTGTTGCTAGTCTCTGGTACATTACTCGGCAGTGTTTCACCATTATACGTCCATCCAACTACGATAATACCTATAATATTCCATTTACTGCAAATTTATATAATCAAAACCTTTTTAATTAGAAATATTAATTAACCAACTTAATAATTATCCTAAAAACATATTGTTCTTGTTCTTATTACTACTAAAAATATACTATGTATATATACTATTAAACATAAACATATGCTTTTATTTTAACTATTTTTAATATATAATATTTTTTATTATATACTATTAAATATACTATTAATATAGTTTATTAAATATATAATAATTAATATAATATTTTTTATTGACATATAATATAGTTATTATAAAACAATTTTTAATTATAATACCGTTTTTATAACATACATATAATATATAATAATTAAATATATAAACCAGTTTTTTTATATAATACAGTGTATATATATATATATATATATATATATATATATATATATATATATATATATATATATATATATATATATATATATATATATATTTTAAATTATAAATCCATTTTTATTAACATTCTACATAAAATATAATATTATATATTTTTTAAATTATAAAACAGATTTTATAATAATAACATTAAATATTTTTTACTAAATATATACATATTAAAACAGTTTTTTAAATGTTTTTGTTCAATACAAAAAACTATTTTTTTTTATATATGTTTTTAATCAATACATAAAATATTATATTATATTTGTTTTAAATAAAATATATATTAACATTAAAACTGTTTTTATAAAATTTATATATTATTCTATTTTTTTTTTGTTTTTTATAATAAATAAATTAAATATACCTCTTCAGAAAATATTATAATTTAACCAAATTCAACCTAAAATCTAACTAAATTCATAAAATATACCAAATGTAAAAAAAAATTCCAAGAAATACCTCTTCTCTTCTAACTCCTTCAATATTTTTGTCCAACCTTTTTGCAATCTACTTCTACTATATCAATCTTCTTCTATTCAAAGAAAAATTAAAATAAATTACAATCCCATAATACAATAAATAAAAACTTGTAAACAAAATAGAGACAAAATTAAATTAAATTAACCTGAAAAAACAAGGATTAATGGAGATTGAAGTTGGATTTTATAATGGAGAAAAAGAGGTTTTATGAAGAAGTTGAGGGTTAATGGAGGGATGGAATGAGAAGAGGGTTAATGAAGAAGAAGAGTGTTTGATTATTTGATGAAAATATACTGTCTTCTTGGTGTAACGTGATGCAATTAAAAATATAAAGCATTTAGCGACGTGAAAATCACGCCGCAACTTTGCCACGTGACTTTCACGTCGCAACAATGCCAACAGTCATATTCTCTTTCTTCACATGCCTGCAAAATCTGATCATGCCAGTCTGTATTGATTTCATTTTCCCTCTTAAATGTTGCGACGTGAATAACACGTCACAACTTACTTTTTCAAAATTTCAAAAACCCATCCATCTGAACGTTAGACCAATTAAAATATTTTATATTATATTTTTACTAGCGACGTGATTCCCACGTTGCAACATATTTTTTTTTATAAAAAAAGTCAGACAACCATCAGGCTTCTTTATTTTATTAATAAAACATGTTACCACGTGATTATCACGTTGCAACTGATTTTTTTTAGCCACATGATAATCACGTGGCAAAATCACGTGGCTGGAGATGATATTTCTTGTAGTGGTGAGGGTTTATATAATTTCTCCAATACGTAGTCATTGGTTCCTATTTTTGGGCCTAAATATTAGGTTCCTCAAAAATAGATAACTGCCAGGACCTGGTCAAAATGGGCAGTCGTGCCCGTAACTAGCTGTTGCTTCGAGCGAGGGTGAGATGACGGGAAGACACATTGTGAGCGCCTTCCTGGTTGTCTGCTCGATGAGTAGCGAGCAAACCTGAAACATACGTTGATATGGGCAAATGCATGGTCAGTGCATCGTTATCCTGGATATTCTCATAGAGCGGTCAACCAAGTATGCTTGACCGAGAATTAGAGTTAGTGGGCCACAATTGTTTGGGTTGTTCTGAGGTAGAAGCGGATTGGGCCAATTCTAGTCATTGGGCCAGTCCAGAACATGATCCCCCCAAGTCGTTGCTTTCGGGTAGAGGAGTGACGAATTAGGACATGCCCGCAAAGGAAGACGTTTCACAAAAGACTTCATGCGAGGAGTTCGAGTGATTCTTGGTGTACCCATATCACGAAGAGAAGAACAATTGAGTGGATCTTGAAGGGTTATCATGTTGCGCTTGCATTTAGTCACATGCTGTCATAAAGGCGCAACGATGGCAAGTCTAGGGACTAGGGGTTAATGATGATGACCCTAGGTTTCCCTAGGCGCATGCTTGCTCCTGTGTAGGCATAACTTCCTATAAAGTAGGAGAGAGTGAACCTCATTTGTACTTTTCTCCATCTCTTTCCTTCTCTTTCCTTCTGGTCTTGTGAGGCATTGTTGTACACTGCTGTAATTTCTACTTGTTCCGTCGTCAGTCCTCCTCAACCATATAAGTTTCTTTGGCTTTTCCATATTTTTGTGATTTTCATCCCTGATTTAGGCTGGATTCTATGATTTTGTACTTAAAGATGCATGTGGTTAGGATTAGAATAACTTTGTGCAGAAATTTCCAGTGGTTTGTTGGCGTTTGACAGTGCTTGTGCCGTTTGAGGATACTGGCTCTGCCATGCACCTGTTCAAAGATGTCTGGACTTGGTGATGGTGATTCCTGATGAATTTTCTGGTAAAATTGGGGCCATTTCTGGGTTTTTGTTGCGATCTTCATATGCTTCTGATAAGTTCCTGCATGTGGTGTTAAACCCAGTGGTCGGGGAGATCATTCCTTGTGTGTGTTAGGGTTTAGCTTGATGGGTAGGCGCCCAATTCGTTAGAGGGAATCACCCACGTGCTCGTTTTTTTGCTGCTTTTGAGTGAGGGCTCTGGTCAGGGACATGGTCCTCATTCCTTTATGTTCCCTTTCACTTGATTAGCCGTGGAAGGGTGGAATTTATTTAACGTTGAATTCACTTTTGTCCTCTACTTTTAAGGTATGATGGCCAGTAGTATCGATGAAGAACTCTAGAGCGAGCACAACGATTCCATACCAAGTTTGTCCGAGCATACGTCAACCAAGGAGAGTACCTCAAAGGTGTGTGATCTTAAGTTGGGCGTACCAGAGCATGGCGTAGATGTGCAGGGCGCGCACACGGCTCCCGATGATCCCTTGGCCTAGGTTGCGCCGGGTGTAACACTGCGATATTTAATTAAATATTTTTGAATATTTTATATTAATTCAAATTTTTATCGTCGAAGTCGGAATTATTTTTATTAAGTTGGTATGATAAATAATCGGATTTAATTTAGTGGAACTAATTTTAAGTATTATTTTATTATTAAGCTTAAATATGATATTGGACTTAATTTGTGGTGTTGTGAAGTAATAAGGAGGTATGTCACTTAGGCCCATTTAAATTTATTAAGCAAGTAAGTGAAATAATACTATTATATTGGATAATAAAATTAGAGGAGAAAGAGAGAAGTAGAGTTATCAGGAAAAGAAAAATAAAAAGAAAAGAAAGAGAAAATAGGGTTTGTGAGAGGAGAAGAGGAACAAGAGAAAGTTTCTTCTAGTGCCAAATTCCCCAAATATTCGGTCAAAGTTTTTAGAGCTGCATTCAATCCAAGGTAAGGGTGGGGTTCTTGCTAAATAAATGGGAGTATGATGAATTTTATGTGGGGTTTAGGGTATTATTTTCACTACTATGTTGTGTAGAAATTAGTTGTGTTGCTGCTGAAAATTGATAATAGATTTAGTTATGTTGAAATTATTGATGAATTTGTTAATAGTATGATATCCCTTAACAATTCCATTGGATATAATATATAAGTACCACCTTGTAGTTTAATAGTAGTAGTATTTTGATGAATATAATAAATATTATCACTTGTATTTTT